CGCACAAGACAATATTTCAGTACATTTAAAACTTTTTAAGGCCTAAAATTGTGTTTTTAAAAATAAGGGCATTTTAAGTCTTTTTAAGACCCCACCGACACCATGTAGAAGTATGTAGAGTGAAAGTTTGTTGTGTCTGTTGGGGACCATCAAAATAAAGTGTTAGCAGATATTATGCAGATAATGTACTGATATAATAATAACTTCTAGCTGACTTGTCATTTTAGTCAACATAATGTCTCATTACATTGACTAAACATAAAGAGACATTAATTAACACAATTAATCAACATAGTGTCCAAACATAATGTCTAAACATAATGTTTGGACTCTCAGTAATGATTTTAAAGCGCACTGAACTGAGCTAAACTGAACTGAACTTAAACACTAAAAACTGAACTACTCTGTTCCAATTTGCTATGACCATTTACGTGAAGCTGGTTTGACACAATCTACATTGTAAAAAGCGCTTTACAAATAAAGCTGAATTGAATTGAATTGAATGTATAAAGGGCACCATCAAAATACAGTGTTACCAAATAAATAAATTCTTGCTTGCTAAAATAGTCAGAGGAGTTTTGCATAAAACTATCGCTAATTTATATAAACGAATATGCCTAGGTTTCTCATTCAAATCCAGAAATGACCTTTTTCATTTGCCAACCAAACTGGCCACTAAATAATTAAAGGGATTAGATCAAGAACAGTCATGTTTTTTCCCTTCAAAAAGCCATTTAACTCAAATAGACTATCACAACTTCGGCTTCATGCTGGCCTTAAAGGATTAATTCCCCCAAAAACAAAAATCATATTATTAATTACTCATCATCATTTCATTCCAAACCCTGGCAACTGACATCCATCTCCTGAACACAAATTAAAATATTTTGGGTGATTTCCTCTGCTTATGAATATGAGAATTAAATCAGCAGCGTGACTTTGTATATATCTTTAAAGGATCTGAAAGCTCTCAGATTCCATTCAAAATATCTTAATTTGTGTTCTGAAGATAAATAAAGGCCTAAGGGCTTTGAAATGACATGAAGATGAATAATTGATAACAGTATTTTCATTTTTAGGTGAATTACCTCTTTAAATTTGGCATGAAACAGAGGTTTGATTGTATTTTTTCTCCACATTAGTCTATACAAGTGAAATGGCTTTTTGAAAAAAAAAAAAAAAAAAAAAACAGGATAGTTATTGATCTAATTCACAGGGAACTGACTGAATTATTGAACAGTAGTAATCTGCTATTGATGTGGTCTCTGATTGAAATGCTAATATCCCACCCTTGCACCAAAACTCTCAAAACATCATCAGACATGGGAAGGTAAGTTATTTTGATGAAAGTTACTGAAGGAACCTAATGATGCACATAATAAATGACTTAATAAATACTGAAATATTACATAAAAGTAAAAAAAAAAAAAACTAAATTGTCAGTTTTGAATTCATGGCAAGTAGCAATTTAGAACCAGCCAAAACCAAAATTATCAGAATTGCTACTTAAATTTAATCCATTCAGGCCTATAATTAAATCTGATACTGAATAATTGAATGGCTTTCAGTTTTACAGCAGTCCGTCGTTTGCCGATAAATGAATGACTGGCTTGAAAATGGCATGAGTTGATATGCGTTACCCACCATGCCTAATTTTTCAACCACATTTGACAGGTGTTAATTTCAATCCCTGTTTGAAGCTGTATAATTCAAAAGGGTGTTCACTGTTCAGCCCTACAGTACATGCCCACACTAGTACTGACTGCACAGTGGTCTATGCCAAAAACCTCCCCAATACATGACATTACATTACTCTCAGACGGAAGGTTGCAAGGGCTACAGCCACCATTAGAGAGGTGCGATAGGAGTTAATTATATATCTCTGTGTTGCGATCAGCGTAATTAAATAAACATCCTCCTGCCATCCTTCATTTAGGACTCCTCATAGATTAGAGACCCTATTCTTAGAGGACTCTGACTGACTTCAGCCACCTCGGGCAGCAAGAGCCCAAGTTATCAGTGTCACCCTAAAGTGTGCTCTTATCCAGAAAGATCTGTGAACCGGTATCTCTCTTAATTCAAGCCAAGCTAATGGCTCATTAATATGAGAGTCATGGGGGCTGTCAAAGACATGGCGCAGCACAAAGCGAAAGGACACTAATCCCCATTGATTAGAATCCTCAGATCAAAGGCTTCCAGCGCTGTCACTTCACCTCTATTCTCCCCAACCCACTCGCGCTGCAATTAGGAGCCCTCTCAGCGTTTCATTAAGATGTTAAAAATACCAAGTCACCTCCCCCTCAAGGGAGCTAGTCACTGAGACACATACCGAAATGCTCATTTACTATTGTGAGAAACAAACCGTGGCATCTCCCTGAACATTTCAATCAGGTTGGTAAAGCCCCACTCGTGTCTGCGACTCACAAAGCAAATGCTGAGTCCTCGGTAGCCCTGAACTCTATACTGCGCATGCAATGTGTGATAATGAGCTCATCGTCGGCCAGGGATAAAAAAAGTACATTTAATTAGCAATGGAAAGGTTGCTTTTCCCCCTTTTTTTTTTTTGCTTGAGATAGCACACTCTAGTCAAAAAATATGAGCTTATGAGGGGCTCATCCGCAATAATTGCAGGCTTTAAATAAGAACTGGCAAATTTTAAAGAAGATGTCTTAATGTGTAAGTGAAAACTGTTAGAGCATTTCAACAAAATACATATTTGATACCAATAAGAAGAGAAATGATGAGAAATTAGGTTAAATTACGTCAAAAGACTTTTACCCCCCGACACTTAAATGATTATATATTTATATACTTCTCAAGTATGTATTGGGGATAATGAGGAAACAGCTGGAACTAGAGCTGCATGATTAATCGAAAAAAGATTGTGATCTTGATTCGACCCTACACACAATCTTAACTCTGTTTTTCTACGATTCAGCCAATTATTTTTTTTTATGTCAGGACAGAAGCATAAATGAGGTCGCACAAGTCTTTACATTGTTTTATATACGTGGACACCTTCAAATGGTGCTAAAAGTGTCACATACTATATTTATAAGGTATAGTTTACCAAAAAAATTATTTTCTGTCTTTATGTAATGACGTACTCGCATCAGAGAAGATGCACTGTTTGTTTACTACAGAGAGGATTAGCGCATGCATGCTATTGATGTCTACTTTAGAGAACAGAACCTGCATAGGCTTTGAATAACAGGTAATAAAGTTGCAAATAACTTAAAGTGATGGCAGCCATGACATGAGCTGCACTCGACAGTGAAAAGTGAACTCAAACATCACTTAAATTATCATTCTGCATTTTAGAGTAATGATTACGACAAGCATTTGATATGTTTTTTTCTTTTGTAGTGAACACAGAGGGCCCTATCATACACCCGGCGCTAGACGTGTTTGCCATGACGTGTTGCTATTTTCAAACCAACGCAATCTTAATTTTTCCGTTTTCTGCCACATTGTTTAAATAGCAAATCCAGTCGCATCACTTTGTGGACTCATGGGTGTTTTAAACTAGAAAAGAGGTGTGTGAAGGCGCATTGTTGGCGCGTTGATATTTTGAGGAACTAAAACAGACTGTGCATTAGACCAGCTAAAAGCTGCTTTAAAGTCCAGTGCAGAGTGTGTTAGTTGTGTGCCTCGCTTACGCATTGCTTAAAACATGCAGGATGTACAGCAATAGGCAAATATCTTTACAAATGAAAAAGAATTAAAGGAATAAAATATTACAAAAATAATTACTTTCAAGATAAATATAAAAACCACTACCTCCATGTCTTCATCATCTCGGGGGGCTTTTTCACGACAACTTGCGTTTGTATAATATTATTATTATTACTACTATTTATTATATGCGTAATTATATATATTTTTATTAAAAACAAGCTTAGATTTGTCCACCTGGGGCATAGCACATGTGTTTGAATATACCTGTTTTTTGAAAACACTTTGTAATTATTGCTCTTTTAGTTGTTTGCTGGAAATAAGAACTGAATTTAGAAATAGTTTTGAAACAAATCTTTGCGGTTAACAAAGGAAATTAAATATGTAGGCTTATGGATGTCTGTGCATACAACACCGTTTTCTTATCCACGAAAGAGAGAAAAAGAAAGTGAAAGTAAAAGTCGATTGGAGGAGGCTCATTCTTTATCCTTGTGCTGCAGATGCTCTGTTTAACTTTTTCTCTCTAGTAAAACGTTCAGTTTTTCCACTTACAAAGTCCGCCATGTAAATAGCAAATGCGTCATGGTGCAACAAAATTGACCCTTAAAGGGAATGGGAGATGACACTGCTTGGTTTATTCTCAAAACACACCCATAACTCATGTTGAGAATGAGCTCAGGCCTGTTAGACCATGCACCACAATGCTGAGCTTATTTATCCGTCCTTAAAATAAGAAAAGTGGATTCGGACACACACATAATGCTTTTGCACCATGTGCTTTAGACTTTGCGCCTAGATCATTAAACTAGAGCCCAAAGTGTTGTGCATGAAAATAAATGTTTACTAGGTCAGTATAATTACTGTAGCCTATGTAATTTTGAATATAATTCAAGATGGAATTTGATAATGACAAATGTCTCATTTTACCAGTGAAAAAAGTTGTCTAACAATATTCTCAATGACAAATGACAAGCAAACATCTCAAACACAATAATTCAACTTCAGAGTCATGAACAGCTAGGACATATTTAAAATCTGTTCAAGTCCACTATTCCAAGTGAGAACAGAATTTTTAGCATTTTTATCCAACAGAAGTACTACATATAGGGCTAATAATATTACTGTTGTTTTATCATATGTTTGAGAAATAACAATAACAATAGGCTACTCATATTAACTTTTATTTTACATCTACAGAATCGGGAGAAAACCGTGATATTGATTTTAGGCTAAATAAATTTTGAATCTCATTTGAGCCAGAATTGTGCAGCCCTAGCTGGAAAAGACACATTAGAACTGCTCTCGCTAAAGGAGTCTTATCTTACCTTAAGTGCCAGTGCTGATGTTCCTCCTGTCTCACCACAAAGAAGGATAACTAGTGCCTAGAAAAAAGAGGAAGTGCATCACTGAATTGAGCCATAAAAAAGTGGGCAAAAGTGATGTCTGGAGGGGACATATGCACAATATCTGGTTTTAATGACACTGCAAGCTTAAATACGCAGACAAAATATGAGGACCATCTCCGTTTAAAACTGACTGGCATTTAGACTGACAGAATTCTATGGATTTTTTAAATTAACCATCAAACAGACAGAAATAAAGTACACACTGACTAACATATGTGTTATTTTATTGGTTCATCCCTTGAATTTAATTAGCAGCCTCTCTTGTGCACATTTCTCAATAGACATGTTCCTTTGCATTATCACAAATAAAACATGGCCCATATACAAATGTTTCTCACACTCCAACCACGGCTATATACAATATGCTAAGCAAATATACATAAACTTAATCTCAAAGTGAGCTCAGAATTAATCACTGTTTTAAAAAAGCAGAGATGGACAAACAAATCAAATAACTATGCAAAGATGGACATGAATTCCAAACAAAGTGCTTAATATTAAATTAATTTATGCTTTGACAAGACTATTGTATGTACAAGAGGTTGTTGTGCATGGCACCACTTTCAACTAAAAATGAAAAATCTTTTAGCTGGTATTTTTAAAAGAGAGCTGTAATTTTGGAGCTTAAAACAAGTCTCATATTGCAATCTTTTAAGAAGTTATACATTTATCATTTCCATAGAAACTACGAAAACACAATTTGATGAAATTGTTTAAGTAAAGAACATGTCTTGACAACTTACTAACAATTACGCTGGACTACAGGACCAAAAGTTTGAGCACAAGTGCATAGTGTTTCTTGAAAGTGCCAGTATTTCAGCATTTTTATATGACTGTTATTTATTTTGGTATTTCATTTTTTTGAACAATCAGAAGTCTTCATGCAAAACCTTACTGTCCTTTTTACTGGCCACCTCCTGAGAGGGAGCAAAAAGCATTTTACTTCAATCCTACATTCTTTACAATGGCTGCCTGTTTGTTTTAGAGCTGAGATCAAAATTGTATCACTTAACTTTAATTTTTTTTTAAATGAAACAACCTCTGATTATCACAGTCAGCTACTGACTGTGTATCAGGCTACCAGATTCATGTCTGCCCTCCAATGTATTTCTAGTGCTTTGCTAAATCAAGGATTAAATATAGAGGTGATTGTGCTTTTTGTATTGCTGCATCCAGGCTTTGAAACGCCTTGCCACCTTCAATTAGACTATCCCTTCTGTCAATATTTTCAATATTAAGTCAAGACTTAAGCTTTTTATTTTCAAAGGATTTTGGCTGACAGGAGGTGTGACTGTTTTTGTCTGTATCTTTTCATTTCTTTCCTTTTTTTTCTTTCTATCTGTTGGAAAGCAAACTGGTCAGTAAAAAGTTGTAAAAAATATGCTATACAAATAAAATTGTCATTAATCTAAATAACCTAATTTTGCCATATTATATCTTAAAACAAGACTTGTCTAAGTCTTACATATCTAATAAATGCTTCTTCATTTTATTTTTCATTTAGATATTTGGACTAGAACCAAGACAAAACAAATCTGAGTAAGAAAATATTTTTTACAGCTAACCATATAAATGATTTGATATGATATGATTTGAACATTTTTAATATTAATTCCCGACTAAAGAAGCTTTTTATTTTTAAAGGCATTTGGCTGACAGGATAAATTATTAAACTGACAGTTCTAATTATTAAACTGATAGTTTTAATGATATTAAAATGGCTTAAACGAAAAATACAGTTCTTTATTGCTATAAATCCTGCACATTACTAATTATAGTTCCTTTACAATAGAGCAAATTTATATTAATTATATTAATATATAATAATTATATTATATATTAAGAAGCATTTTCTAGACAAATAAAATAAAATATCAAAATTAAGTGAGTTTTTCCTTAAAAAAAAAAAAAATAAATCTGCCAATGGGGTAAGCAAAATCATTTTGTTTTTCCTTTTGACTATTTTGCTTGTTTTAAGGAAAAACTTAATTTTGCCATATAATATCTTAAAACCAGAATATAGTTTTTACTTGTCAAAAAATTGCTTATTTATTAAATTTGTTATGTAGATATTTGGAAATGAATCAAGAAAAAAGTGAGAAAATCCTTTTTGCAGTTAACAATTTAAATGATTTAATATTAATAATATTTCATATCTGTTGTACAGGCTAAAAGGCTTTCTGCTGTTTTTATCAGCCGTTATTTTCTCATCAGTGTGGCTCTAATCTTTCCATTTCTTCCTTAGGGAGAGATGTTGTTCCCCAAAATAAAGCCAATTTATTTTTGGCTTCGCTTGTCAGCAGTGAGCTTGAGCAAATGTGAAAGATTATAGTATTTAATTTCCTTTCTGACCATAGCACGGTGCCATTACATGGATAGCTTTAGGGTAGACTGAGGCTTAACGCTTTTCTGGAAAGATGTAAATGAAGTGCATACTTCCAATAACACCATTCTGCCAATATGCATATAGATATTGATTTGCCTTTTCAGAACCAATGTGCCTCCCCTAAAGGAGACATTCAATGTCTGAATTAATTTGAATATTTAGACAAACACAAACGAAATTCAGGATTTGTGTATTATGCAAAAAAGGAAATAATGAGGAAAATATAAATGAATTATAATACAAATTATGCTGTGTGCCTTCCTCTCAGAGGCAGGCAAATCTACCGAGGCTATCCGGGAAGAGAGAATAAGCAAGCTTTAAGAATGTAAATAATTTCCCAGAGAGCAGAGGATGCAGGAGGCTGGCCGAACAAAAATAGTTGCTGCGTAGGCACAAAAAAATGGATCCACAAAATGAATACATGAATAAAATAGAAGTTGATTGAAACAAACACACTCTATCTATTCAATGGTACGCCAAACAATCAGTGTGAACCAACAACGTTCCAGCTTCGACAGATGCCGGTGCTCATTTTCTGGCTCACCTTCCATCTCTACTCACAGACTGTGAAGTGTTACAATCAACCGTGCGCCCAATTCGCTTGCAGTGGCTTTTCAATTCTTTTGCTCCAAAAAAGAAATGTAAAAAATTCATGAAGGACCTACATGAAACTTTTCTGTTGTTTTGTGTGTGTGTGTTTGCCTCACACACAGTTCCTTCTCTGTTTGAACAGGATAACCATTGTAAAAGTCTATAGTTTCCCCATATGATTCACAGGCCTGTCTATATACTGCAGCAAGTCCGGTGTTTCACATCCAGTCTCTGTGCTGAAAGTTACAGTTTGTCAGTGAGGCTTCGGAGAGAGGGATCACCATGGCTCTAGTTCTCTGTGAATCACAGCAGACCCGCTGTAATTTGTTATCTTTCTGTGATCCCATTTCCGATGTGTTGATGCAGCAGATAGATTCCCATACCGTAACCATTTATCACCTGTCAGTGCAAGCTGTTGTCACACTTTTTTTTTTTTATCTTTCAGCAAGAAAAAAAAAAGTCAGCTCTGAGGAATGTTCTTAGAGAAGCCCAGAGTCACAAACTCTATGACTGTACAAACAACACTAAAGCACTGAAGCTTATATTTATTCATGTCAGAATTCATGTAAACAGTGTAGTATATTATCTGTTGTTTGGAACACAATGTTTGTGTTGATTTAAGCTCAGCTAGTCATGCACAGTGAGCATAGATAATAGCTATCCTAAAGTGTATAACACACTGTCTGGTAACCTGGAAGAAAAGGAGAGAGAATAGGAGAGAAAAAAAAAATTGTCATAGCATCGATATACTACTCTCGGATGATTTGAAGTGCTTCTTTTATCCTCACAGGCAAATCGCTGTTGATAAAAGTGTCTGCTAAATGAGCAAATGTAACTCTTTGACAGGTTTTACAATGGGTGATACCATAAGTCAAAATTCATTTATTACTCTCATCCTATGATCTGTAAGAATTGGGGAAAGTCCAAAAACAGACCACTGAAACACTTTGAAAACCAAATATGGTATAGCCAAGCTAGAGATAAAACAAATTATACAAGTCAATTAGTCTTGTCACTTATCATAACCAATGTACAGTATAAAGTATAAAGTCATGGAGCAGTGGGAAAACAATTAATATTGTGTACTGCCACTCCCATGAGCTTGGATTTACTCAAATAACTTATTAATAAAGTCATCTGGAATGGCAAAGAAAGCGTTCTTTCAGGACTCCCAGAGTTCATCAAGATTCTTTGGATTCATCTTCAATGCCTCCTCGATCTTACTCCAGACATGCTCAATAAAGTTCATATCTGGTGACTGGTCTGGCCAATGCTGAAGCACCTAGGCCTTCTTTCCTTGCAGAAACGTTGATGTGGAAACTGAAGTATGAGAAGAAACGTTATCCTGTTAAAGAATTTGCCCTCTCCTGTTGTTTGTAATGTAATGGGCAGCACAAATTGTCTTAATATGTCAGGCTGTTGATGTTTTCATCCACTCTGCAGATCTCTTGCACGCCCCAAACTGAATTTAAGCCCAAACCATGATTTTTTCTTCACCAAACTTGACTGATTTATGTGAGAATCTTGGATTCATGCGGGTTCCAATAGGTCTTCTGCAGTATTTGTGATAATTGGGATGCAGTTCAACAAAGGATTCACCTGAAAGTGTATATGATGCTATCCTACTGTCAATTATATATATATATATATATATATATATATATATATATATATATATATATATATATATATATATATATATATATATATATATATAAACATACAGTGAAGGTATGGTGATGAATATGGCAAGTAAATGTATTACTTATTTTGAGAGCTATTCTCACTTACATTGTTATGCAAGGGAAGGAAAAGGAAACAAGGACTTGAGGGTATGTTTACGAAACAATGTCCTGAGGGTATGTTAACAAAAACAACTACTATCTTAATAGGTTTATCTTTTGTGAAATGTGCTTGGATATAACAACAAAATCAAAATGATCAGCACTCATTCAGAAAAACAGGTACAACAACAACAAAACCCTGTTTAATGTTTGCA